AACTTCAGGTCCCAGGGTCCCAACAAGGCAAAGATCTTTCAAATTTCTGCAAGGAGCATAGATCTGACGTCAGGGTTACCATCTAAACTAGATATTTTTGGAATCACTTCATCAAAAAACAATGGCGTGAAAAGCCAGGAAACTGCAACAACAATAAGTTATACATCACATGGAAGCAATAAGCAGTTGGTTATCTTATCAATATCTTAGCTTTATATCAAATTCAATTCTTCATAAGCAACTTCAACATCTGGCAACAACCAAAACCCTTTTTACCCCTTCAGAGAACAATCACTCTGATAATCAACAAAGAGCCAAATTCCAGTAATTGATTCTGCAGGCCTTGAAATTGTTAATCAGGTTACCAAGACCTGGAATCTAAGATGACCCAGCGAACTACCATTAACAAAGGGGATTCTGAATGTTTTCATATCAACAATATCTCCCCCCATATCTTTACAAATTTGGATCTAATTCTGTAAACTATACTAGGTACTCTAATACTAAAATTTAAAAACAGAAACAAGCTTCATTATGTCTAAGACAGCTTAGTTTAGAAAGTATAATGGCAGACGATTATCCAGAACATTAACCATAGCCTCTAATTTGTATGATTATATGAAAAATGAGCAGATCTTCAAACAAAATAACACCAAAGAGAGAGAAAATTTGCAAGAGAAGAGAAACTCACAGAATGACTACTTTTCCATCGGAGCACTCGACCCCGAACCAAGAACAGGGATCAATCTCTCCATCATTTTCCTTCCAGTTCGACAAAGCACCAAAAGGGTCGATCACCACTCTCTCTCTGAACCTCAACAAAGCCAAACCTGCACCATTTTTTGTACACACACACACAGTTATATTTGTTTCAGGGCCTCAAGAAACTGCACGGACATGCAAAGCTAGCCACATGCCATGGTCATTGGTATATTACCTTCACTGTTGGAAGCCGAGGAAAAGCTCATGTTCTGATCAAACAGTGACAAGACCAGCATTAACATCATTCTGAACTTGAACCGCTTGAATCCCCACCGTCCATCCATGTCCCAACAAGAGGATTTCCAAGCTTTTTCCTATCAACTTTTGAGAAAACAAAGAGATTCAAATATATATTACAGACAAAAAGATACAAAAACTATTACAGAGCTTCTTGGTGCCTGCTTAGAGACTGCTTGCAAATTTGGACGAAAAGAGAAGAAAGCGCGTGTGCATATCGGTGATTATTTATTATATAAAATGAAACTGTTTGTAAGTTAAAACCGAATGAACTTCTTCAACAGGACCCAAAGACATGTAGACACTCACGGTTTTAACGGAGACAAAAGAAAAAGAAAATGTAAAACTGGGTTCTGAGTTTGGTCCTCTTCGGCGGATTAACAAACTGTTGGAGTTTTGATTTGTCTGCTTGCTGATGGGATTGACCCTCTCCACCCTTTCCACATTTATAGCGCCGTCCTGTGAAATCCCCCCACGTGCTTTTCACATGGTGAATATTCTTCTTTTCTTTTTCACTACGGTTCAGGTAAACACTTTCGTTGTTTTGTTAACTCACTAGTTCTAAAATTGTCTGAAAAATATAACTTACCGAACCATTTTTGAAGTTTAAAATGCTGGTGGAAAAAAGATGGAGAATTTTACTAAATCTGACAACTCAAGTAAAGCTCAATGCAAGGCTTGTGTCAGTGAGGGTGAAGATGGATATCTTATTATCAGGGAATTCTTATTATTCAATTCGATTAAATACAATTCGGGTGTTTTATATTTAGAGTTGAAATTAAATCCATTCAAATTTAAATAAAGTGTTGATATTATTTTTTGGATATCTGATATTTAAATTCAATTATATTTTTATTTATAATATTGAGTATTTGAACTCAAACGTGAGAAATACGTATATATAATGTCATCATTTCTTTTCTTTAAGAATCCTTAAATTAATTAATTAATCTATTTAGGAATCAACTATCATTTGTTTTTCAATAATTTATGCCACAATGCCCTTAACAAGTCAGACACCCCTAGATAAACCAAACAATGTTTTTCATTTTTTTAACAGAGTACCTTACTTCCTTGCCGTCTTCTGACTGGTTATGGTGTCTTGAAAATTCTAACCCAAAAACTTAGGACATTTCAGAACTCATGCTCAGCTGTCCGAAAATCTGAACCACCTTCATTGACCCTGATCTCAGGACTGGTACAAACAGAGCCAACCTGAATGGATCAGGCACATTCCCAACTTCACTTACATTTCCAACGTGCCTGTCAGCTGTTGAAATGGTCATTTTCAAAACCTGTTCAATACTGGCCTGCACCGGACAAGCCATTAGAAGATAACTTGGGATCAAATAATTCAACAAAATTAAATAATTTTATACCCCACTTGGATTTTTGCCAGGTATATCAAATTAAATAATATTCAACCTCCCCTCCACAAAAAAAAAAGAGTGAACAGAAAGATACCCTTATGTTGTAAATCTGATAACAATATTTAATGTGGAGAACATGCTTTGAAGGTAAGTTCCAAAGGTTGGGAAAGAGGATATAATTTGTGCATACTATGAAAGGTGAGAGACAGAAAATGATGTCTCAGCTTCTGTGAATATGATTTTGATGGCTCAGTGTTACTTTGTAATTGTTCTAAATGTATTTTCTTTCTGATAAATTCATCTTTAATTAGCTGTAATTTTTAATTTGTTTTATTTACCAATTGCCTGGTGATGGATCATATATAGGCATGCTTCTTAAGGCACAATGACCCCTGACCTTTACTTTAAAGGTATAAAAGACATGATCCTATTATGATTACATGAAGGAAACTTCGAAAGACGAAATTAACTGCTCACTTAATCGACTAATTGATCAACTAACTTGTTCTAAAGACAAAGTTTAAATCGAAGATTAGGAATGATTAGGAATAGTGGATTAATTCTAAGATTAGGAATGATTAGTTTGAAATATTCTATGGTTAGGACTTGGGAGGAAGTTCAAATAAAAAAAGGGTTATCTTTTTCAGATGTAAATTTGGATTTATTTTTTTAATGGTATAGCCTTTAAGTAAATGTGCAAAAAGTTAAACAAAGCTAACTCCAACATCCAATAACTCCATTGGTGCATGACAACAAGTCATTTGGTGCAACCAAGAAATTGACAGTCCAGCGTACAAAAACCAAGCACAAATTTGTTCATTTATGTTTGGT